CCCGGGGCTCCGGCTTCGCTGCGGTGCCGGCCGAGCGCTGCCGGGACAGAGCGGCCCTTTGTGGCGGTGGCGGGGCCGGCCGCGGCCAAGGCGGCCTCCCGCCCGCGCGCCCGCGAGCGCCTTTGCCACCGCTGACACGTTGCTAGCAGCGCCGGAGGACGTACGAGTAAACACGCTGCTTCACATCGCTTTCTCCTTCTTCTTCCTTTCTTTTTGGAAAAGCTCATGTCATTGCGCGTTTTTTTTCGCTCCCCAGCCTGGAAAGTTTAGGTAGCGGCCTACGTGCCAGCTCGCCCGGTCGCAGATGGGGATTTCAACTACGGAGCTCCGCACTGGCCAGAAGTGCCCGCGAGGCTCCTGTTCAAGCACAGCCAACTGCTGCAGCATAAAAACGCTCCATTTCCTCCCGCAATCCAAAAAACATCCGCGGATATTTTTTTCCCCGCTATTCTTTCAGCCTGTGTAAACTCTTCAAGCATCAGGATACCAGATGCTGTAGCCTCCCGAAGGGAAGGGATTTGCATTTAGGCTAATCCAAGGCGACTTTCTCATCGCAGCCATGGCGAGAGGCGCGCGCAGGGGCACCGGGATGTGGGGCACAGTGACTCACGAGCTGGGGCTCCGGGCAAAGACACATTTGCTTGGAGAGGCTGCGAGTTATTGGCACAACAGCTGGAAATCATCTTTGTTCCACCAGCTCCGAGAGTGAAACGGCTCCGCTGCATTTTGCCTGAAAATGTTTGCTGAAAATTTCAAGCGCTGGAAATTTTTACTGCACCACATTTTCAGTGTTTCTTCCTGGCACATTTCGCTTAGTTTTCAGCATTCCTCCTCACTTTTTTTTTTTTTCTGTTTTTGTTTCCCCTTGTTATACACAAAATTACCAGGGAAAATTTTGGGGAAGAAAATGAGGAAAAAAAAAAAAAAGAAAAGAACCACGAGACCCTGCCTGGGTTTCGTGAGCCCCAACCAAGGCATCTGCCCGCTCGCACCGCGCGCCAGCGGGACGCGCAGGGGCCACACGCGAGGACGAGCCCCCGGACGTGCCGAGCCCCCCGACACGCTGTGCCCTTTGGTCCCCAAAGCACCATTTCAGAGCTTCGATGTGCTGGACGTGGACCCACTTTCTGCAACTGCGAGTGCCCCACGGCGCGAGCCGGCCCGCGCGGATGGGGAGAGCCGTGGCGGGAGAGGCACCCCGCCGGGGAC